AATTGGCCTTAGCTCCGTATGGCTACTCGTGCGGACTACCTGATCAGACCATCCCCGCTTCTTGGGGTCGTTGCGCAACGCAAGGGACCGCTACACCCCAGAGTGGGAGCGCTGAGATGGGAGGCCCGGCCTGTGCATCAGGTGCACGTCAGAGGACATGCTCGTTCTCCGGACCAGTCTCTACTCAGGGCGTAGGCTCACCCGGCCAAAGATGAAACCTCTCACTCCATTGCTTATCCAACATTCCTCTCCATCTACCAAGCTGTCCGCCAGAACAGCTTTGTCGATCGCGATACCGCTGCACAAAAGCACACATCAGAAGGTCTGTGGGTTAAGCCGCGACAAGAAGGGGAAGGGAGGGGAGGATAAGCATTACCGTTCGAGAGCCCATCTGCGTGTTGTGCCATCCTGGCCTCCACTGCCAGACTCCCAGCTGAATTTCTGGGGTACAGGAGGGGTCACCCACTGGCCGTTTCTGAAGAAATAAGGGGTTGTCAGGCTGCCCTCCATGATGGAACCGTCAGTCTTATTGACTACCAGAACTTCCGTGGTATCGGTCAGCTGGATGCCCGCGCGACTCCGCGCGTCATCGTAGACAGCGCGCTCTGTTGTCTTGAAATGTGTGTATTCCGACTTGGACGTCAGAGCCGTGTCAGGCACAACCTTGTACACGAGGTTTTTGCTGGGATCGCCCGCAGCAACCTCTGCGTCAGGCGCGGGCAGCCGACTGGGGAAGAGGTTGGACAGAGGCACCGGTGCAGCAGGTCCCTTCTCGCATGCAAGCCGGCCATCTTGAGCAAGAAGGATCTTGACACGGGCCGTATACCTGTGATCGGCCAGGGAGGTATCCAGAAAGGAGGCAAGGCGCTCTAGCCCAGCCTCACCATCCAGGACCTGAATGGCATCTGGCCAGGCCCAGTGGGTGGCAGCTCTGAGCATGCGGTCGCGATGGTAATCGAGTATGTAGTAGGGTGACTCAAGACGGTGGTTCCATCCAGCGTTTTGAGGACCATGCGTAGGGACCTGTCGAAGCCCATCATCATGGCGCAATGATGTGAAGAGCTGGAAGTCTCGAGACATTTCAATGAGCGAGACGATGTGTTGAAAAGCTCAAGTGATATCAGTGCAGGTAGCCAACGAGGCTCAAGATGTGTTTGTCCATCAGAGCCCACCCTAGTCATCTTTGGTCTGAAGCTTTGACGGACAAGGTCATGAAATTTCAGGTCTCTCATTGGCCAATGTATGGGCTCAGTCGAGATGGCCTGTCCACAGGCCAAGACAATGGCAACGCCTCGGGTCGCCGGGGCTGCTAGGCTGTGTGTGTGGTGACGTCTGGGCCTGTCCTTAGGTAAGCCCGCAACAATTTTCTGTATCATCACCTCCCGTCAGATTCCAGCAGCATCCAGGAAAGCTGTCGCGCGCCCATTCAACCTCCTATCATCAACCACCTCACAGCCGACGCTCTTTCCGGCCCTTTCCCAACCTTACCACCCCGGGCTCCTGCTGCAAAGTCAAGGAGTGTTTTAACTTTTTTTTATTCATCGCACGCACTCTTAATCATGTCAAATCCTCTTCCCTCTGTCCCCCCGATGGCCACTAGGCCTGTCGCGGTCCCCGTCGAATCCTCCTCTGTTTGGGATCGCATCTCGACGTGGGCGTCTGAGAACAAGACGGTTGTCTATACGATCGCCGGTGTGGCCGTCGTCTTCACAGGTGCAGGCGTCTTCTACTACCTCAACAGTGACTCAGTAAGTTTCGCCTGCCTCTTCAGCTGCTATCGTGTGCTTGCACCAAACTGCGTCACCATGTTCCAATCTGCTGCGCGACATCAAAACAACCATTCCTCGACTTTCAATCGCTGATGGAAATCTCACTACAGAAGCCCAAGGACAATTCACCAAAGCTCAGCAAGAAGGAGCGCAGGAAAAGAAAGGAGGCCGAGAGGAAGGCTGAAGCCGAGAAGACAACGTTCACAGAAACTGTCGAGGAGAAGGCACCAGCCCAGCCAGTCACGTTCGAGAGTGCCGATGAGCTGCCCGAAATCACCGAGGCGTCTGTCGCGACCTTCACAGAGGAGCAGCGCGATGCTTACGCGGCCAAGCTGAAGGATGCCGGAAACAAGGCCTACGGTAGCAAGGAGTACAACTCGGCGATCGACCTTTACTCCAAGGCCATCTTGTGCAAGGCCAACCCCATCTTCTACTCTAACCGCGCCGCCTGCTTCAATGCGCTTGGTGACTGGGACAAGGTTGTCGAAGATACCACGGCCGCCATCAACCTTGACCCCGAATACGTCAAGGCCCTGAACCGTCGTGCCAACGCCTACGAGCACCTGAAGATGTACGGCGAGGCGCTCCTTGACTTCACGGCGTCATGCATCATCGACAGCTTCAAGAACCAAGCCAGCGCCGAGTCCGTCGAGCGCTTGCTGAAAAAGTTTGCCGAACAGAAGGCGTCAGAGATGATGGCCAACCGCCCCGTCAAACTTCCCAGTCACACCTTTGTCGGCAACTACCTGCAAAGTTTCCGTGTCAAATCTCGCCCTGCCGGCTTGGAAGACTCGATTGAGCTCCCTGAGGAGACCGGCGCCGGTCAACTTCAGCTTGGTCTGAAGGCCATGGAGAAGAAGACGGGCGACGGTTACGAGGAGGCGAGGGCAGCGTTTGACAAGGCTCTCGAGCTTGGTGATCTCGGCGACCACGAGGCATTGGCCTATAACATGCGCGGTACTTTCCGTTGCCTGCTTGGCAAGCACGACGACGCCATGGCAGACCTAACCAAGAGCATTGAGCTTGACCCTAGCCTGACGCAGAGCTACATCAAGCGCGCCAGTATGAACCTGGAGCTCGGCGCTCCCGAGAAGGCGGCCGAGGACTTTGAAAAGGCGCTTGAGCAGAACGCCGACGACCCCGATATCTACTACCACCGTGCTCAGCTCCACTTCATCAAGGGCGAATTCTCTGATGCGGCCAAGGACTACCAGAAGTCCATCGACCTCGACCGCGACTTCATCTTCTCGCACATCCAGCTCGGTGTCACGCAGTACAAGATGGGCTCGATCGCCTCGTCCATGTCCATCTTCCGCCGCTGCATCAAGAACTTCAAGGAGGTGCCAGATGTCTACAACTACTACGGCGAGCTGCTGCTTGACCAAGGTAACTTCCAGGAGGCCGTGGAGAAGTTTGACACGGCCATCGAGATGGAGAAGAAGACCAAGCCCATGGCCATGAACGTTCTGCCCCTCATCAACAAGGCCCTGTGCCTCTTCCAGCAGAAGCAGGACTTTACCGAGGCCGAGAAGCTGTGCCAGAAGGCACTTATCAGTACGTATTCCCCCGTCCCCCCTTGGCATCTCGACAAATTCCTGCCCATAACGGTTGGCGCTAACCGTTCTGCAGTCGACCCCGAATGCGACATTGCCGTCGCCACTATGGCCCAGCTTCTCCTTCAGCAGGGCAAGGTGACAGAGGCGCTCAAGTATTTCGAGCGCGCCGCCGAGCTGGCCCGCACCGAAGGCGAGACTGTCAATGCTCTGTCCTACGCCGAGGCCACCCGCACGCAGCTCCAGGTGCAGGAGAAATACCCTAAGCTCGCCGCGAGGCTACAGGGCATGAACCCCGCGCTCGGCCGGTAAGGATCTTGTCCTCGTTCGTGGAGGGGGGGAGATTTGGAAGCGGGTGTGTACGATGAGAAACCGGGGAAGGAGGGGGGTTTACGGAGACACGATGCGCCTTACGAATGCAGGCCAGATGGTCGGGCTCGAGGGCGCCTTGTATGATAGAGAGTTTTCTGGGTTGTCTACTGCCCGCCTGGCTCTCGCAGTGACGGTCAAGGTGGGAGTCAAGGTAAACTCAAAAATCGACGGTTTCCTCCTTGGCTCCCCTCCCTTGCTCCGTTACAAGAAAGGGGGGAGGCCTTCTAGCCTGAGTGCGACTCAGGGTCACGACTCAGGGTCATGTTGGGGAAAAGGCAGGGGGACGGAGGCAGATAGGGTTGTCTTTTGTACTATGTATCGGGGCATCAGGGCACGGCGTGCTGAGCCTGTACAAATAGGTAGTATGTAATTCTTCCACTCACCTGTAACACCGCGTACATGGTCTATGATAGTGTGTCGTTTGCATGTCTTGTGCAACATGTCTGGCTCAGTTCGAATACACGAGGGAAGAGTCTGCCTTGGAAAACCAGAACCTCGTGGTCAAGTGACACATGTTAAACATGCTATAGCAGAGATTGTACATCACCTCGTTTCAACGTCTTGCCAGTTTCGTTTCAGTTTCCAGTTATTAATTACGATCAATGAGATATCTGCTCTCACTACCAGCATCGGATCCAAACCGGGGGCGGCTCAGGAGACCGTCCTGGGAGAAAAGTAAATACAAGTAACACGTACAAAACTCCCAAGCCGCCCCTTCTCACTCCCCTCCCTTCTACAAAGTATTTCATTCACAAAGATGTAGCCGTCAGAGACTTTGCAAAAGACCCAAGCGACGCGGCGTAAACTGCCGGTTCCTGCCGAACCAGACAGAACACGCCTATTAGAAAAGGCCCCCGTTGCGCCAGAACCATGGCGTGGGAGGCGCAGCGTTAAGTGTAAAAAAAGTAGAGGGAAAGGCTCTTGCGCCGTTGCTGCTTAGGGTTGGGCGTCGCGCATCAAAGTCTAGTAGCGATGCAGCTTTTCTGGTGGTTCTTCCCTTGCGCGCCCATCATATATCGAAGCAACGCTTAGCTACTGGAGTTCTTGACAAGACCGACGCCGAGACCGACGCCAAGTGCGACAATGATGATGATGAGCACAACGACGAGGAGGCACCACCACTTGAGCTTGCGACGGTTGCGGGCGTGCTTGTTGGCAACCTCGACCTGCTCGTTGCCCTTTTGGATGTTCTCGACCGTGTTGACAGCGTTCTGCTCGGCGGCGTCGACGACGGCTTCCTGCTGCTCGACGAGGACGGCCATCTCCTGGAATAGCTGGGCAACCTCGGCGAGCGTGCGCTCGATGCGCTGAAGCTCGCTGTGACGGGCGCGGACGTTGCCGAGGACCGAGTTGGCCTGGCCCAGGCGGTTGTTCTTCAGCTGCAGCGAGGTGTTAGCATCATGTGCGAGGTCGAGGGCAGGAGAGACAGAGAAGGTGGGAGGGACATACCGCCGTCTGGAAGACACCCTCATTGCCCCAGTCGACCTCGGTGGCCTCGTGGACCTCCTCTTCCGTGGCATCCGGGTTGACGATTCGGTATTGACGGGCAATCTGTTCCTTGTAGCGCTTCTGGTATTCGCTCTCCACTTGCATATAACGGTGCAGCTCGTCCTTGAAAGTGTTCTTGACCGAGTTCAGTTGGGCTTGCTTAGAGGCGCGGGAGGCGTCTTGGGTGCGGGCGGCATCGCGCTCGAGGAACTTGATCTCCTCGGTGATCTGCGTGTTGCGCAGTTGGGTCTGGGCAACGGCATTGTTCAACTGGTCGGAGGCGACGGAATCGGCGGAAGAGAGCGCGCGTTGGTGCAGTTGAGCAATGTGCTCAATGTCAGCCGTCAAGGTACGGATTTCGTTGCGCAGATTTTGTACGCGACCGAGAAAGTCTTGCTGGCTGATGGTGGTGGGTGCGGATGACTGTTGCTGCTGCTGCTGGTATGGGTTGCTCTGGTCCTGGTTCTGTTGTGGCTGTTGGCCATAGGGCTGCATCTCATACTGGCCTCCACCATACTGCTGCTGGCTCTGGTTCTGACGGAGAGAGAGAAAGGTCAATGTTAGAATGGTGGTGATGGCTTCAATTGCGCTCGAGGGTGGAGGTGGGCAGGTGGGCTTACCTGGTTGTAGTCGTACCCGCCCTCGGCCGCGGGACCCTGGGCATAGGGGTTCTGGCTGTACTGTCCGTACGACATGATGGGCTAAGAATTAAGAGAGGCGCGATGGACGCGCAGAGCGTTGGTAGTCGATGTATTCGCAAAAGGCTGAATGGTGGCGGCGGGCGAATTGAGGAGAGGAATTTGTTGTGATCAAAACGGTCCGTCCGGAGGTGAGGTAGTGGTGGAGCGTGCAAGGTATTGACAAGAGAGAGGGAGAGGGAGTGAGGTAGGTACTAAGGTGAGATGGGATTCCCGGTTGCTGAGGACCTGCACGCGGACGGGGTACCTGGACTGTCGAAAGTTTGCGGATGCGGCGATCTGACTGGCCAGTGAACAGAAGAATGGGACGGCAAGGGTAAATGACGTTGAAGCTTGGGTCTTGACTGGGCCTGGGGATCCCTGCGAGCTTCCAAGGGCACAGTGAGATGCTCTGCGTGCTGAACCTGGCGGGGGGGGGCTTCGGGTGTCTGTGGTGCTTGCTGGGGCCTGGGGTCCGCTTGTCTGAGAGCTGAATCGAACTTGGCCGGCAGCTCGAGGGCGGCGGACAGCAGTCTCTTTTGTGCTTCGTGCCAGGACTCCCCACCCGTAGACAGAGTCCTACGGAACTGCCTACCTTGAAGGTACATACAGGTGCCTTGGGGGCTGTGCGTAACCTGGCTCCGGGGCTTGAAATGGCCGAAAGTGCAGGTGGGTGAGCACATGCTCCTTCAGCGCCCACGTTCCTTCAACGCCAGGGCCAGGGCCTTCTGTTCTCTTCTTTGTTCTGGCATGAGATGACAGCCAAACCGAGATCGAAAGAGATTCGCGACCCTTCCTTGTCACAGCCAACTACCTTGCTTAGTTAGTAATTGAACACACGTAACAGACGACACCCAGCGGGCGGCGTGCAAGTACAGGTGCCCAATATCTTCAGCGGAGCCTCCCTTCCATGGGACATCTGGAACCATGTTCCGAATGTCTGTCACTGAGCCCACGCTGGCGTGGCTGCCCTGCATGTAAGGTCGCCCATGCAGCAGCGTGAGATCCCGAACCGGCTTGACCAACACGCCTGTGCCGTTCCAAGACTTGTGGCTGCGCCAGTCCCTCCAGTCCAGCGAACCATCACTCCAGCACTCCATCAGTGCTGGCTCTGTTCTCCATGCCACTGCGGGCCACCAAAAATAGGGCGGCGGGGTCGTCGTCGTCCGCAGCCTTCGCAAGCTACTGGGCTGTGCTTCGCCTCTTCGGGCTTCGCACTGAAGCTCGTCTAATTCGTGTTGCCACACACGACTCGCATCGGCTTTCGCGACCTCCGCATCAGGCATCCATCTATTGTTCAATTTGTTAGTCTCGGCAGATCGGAACTATCTGATGATGTCCATTTCTTGTAGAATGTTCATTGAACACTGCCCACCTCCCATTGGTTCATGGCTACCTTTTTCAAACCCTGTCCACATTCCGGCATCGCCTGCGACCTGCTTCTGTGATTGTGCAATCTGCGCAGTAGGAGACGTCGCTGGCTCTCTGACGATGCATCACAAGACATGACTGCATAGAATGTCATCACAAGGCATGACTGCATAGAATGTCCTACACGCGCTTGAGACGTGATCATCATGGGTTCGTCTATTGGTATCTTTTCCAGCGCCGTCCAGTCTTTTTTTTTTCCTTCCACCGACGTTGGCTTCTTTCGCCCTTGCCTGATGTACATCGTATTGGCGCTCTGCGTCTGCCTTTGTCCAGACGTCCTCAACTCTCTTCCATGTCTTATTCCCAAACGCAGAAGCCTCGCCGTGGACTCATGTCCCAGACAGCGGAGCATTTCGTGATGGCTGCAGCTGCCTCCATAGGCCTAACCTTACATAAAGTAAGGTGATCATGGCTACTCAAGTGCTGGTTTCGTGCTACCTACCACTGCTTCGGCCAGCCGTTACATCTATCGCAATGCTGCTGCATGGCCATCTCATCAACGTCCTGGTGAGGGAGTGTGTCATCAGCTTCTTCGACACCCTGTGTGATCACTATGCCAGAGATACCATCGAGGGACTCCTCTGCCTCATGTCCCTGTACGGCTGGCTCCGCCGTCTACTTTCCTGACGACAAAACAGCAAACATGTCGCCTCACAGGTAATTCTTCTTGCGGCCCGTACGCGTGTACTGTGAGAGGTGCCACTCCACGTCGCCCTTGGCCTCCAACGTTCCGGCTCTGACCTCAAACGGCCTCATGGTCATTCGAGGCCCAACCTCAGCCAGCTCCACTGAGTCGTAGGATGTTCGAACGAAGACGTGACTACACCGAGCGGTCAGTAGGTTCCAGGTGCGGCACTCTTGGCCAGCAACTTACTGTCGGACTTCGATACAGTCGTCTTCGTTGACAAAGGTGACAACTCGGCTTCCAACCTGGTTCTTGCTCGTTATGGGCTCCCTCGGTGGGAACAGATGCTTCAACACGGTGACGATTCGCTTTCCTAGTGGGCTGTGGATATCCAGTCAGTTTCGGCCTCTCGGCATTCGCGCCCGTGCCGCGTGCCGCGGGCTGCCGGTACAAATCTTTTACAAGTACATACCTTTTGAAACCTTCAAAGATGAGATGCTAGAGCCTATGTTAGTCTCTGGCCTCGTGCCACAACATGATATTTCAGGGGAACCATACGGGATATTGCTCGCTGACTGTGCCAAGGCTCTTGATTTCGGCCATCATGACCACGTTGTGTAGAGAAAAGGACACGGTAGGCCCAAAAGGCAGGTGGCTGACGGTCAGAGCCGTGGGTGTACCTCGATGCTCGCTCAGTAGAACAAGATCGGACAACCCGTTCGTCTTGGAAGACATGACAAGGTCAGGCAGAATGAGGTTGCCACGATTGAGCCGGACCGAGGTGGGAAACAGCAACCTTATCTCCTTGGAGAAGGCTGCGAGTCTGCTGGAGGGATCTCGAGAAGTTGTGACAACTGTGGGGATTTAGTCCTTTTCCTCAGAATAGACTGTAGGGGAGGGTGTACATACGAATTCTCGGTTCGCTCAGGCCCGAAGTTGCGGCGTATTCGTCGTCGAGCTGATCCGCCGCTGCGTTGATGTCGCCAGCTTCATCGTATTGGTAGTCTGGGGTACATGTGTTAGTGGCCTTCTGTCGCGTCTCCTGGCAACAGTCCACCGAGCGACCATCAGATCTGAATTATCACCGCTTGTTGATCTTCCAAATTTTGCACGCCGCAAAGAGTCTTCGTCATGAGGGTCACATACCCTTTCGGAGTTTTTGATCTTTCGCAATGGAGGGGTCCAATGCTTTCCCTGACGCCAGGGCCTCCCTCAACTGGGCTCTCTTCTCTGCGGTCTCTGCTTCCTTCAGGGCCGTCGCGCGCCTGTAGAGGTAGTCCCTCCGCTGCCTAGCTTGTTTGCGCTGAAATGTATTAGTTTGCGCCCATTTCATCTGACTGCCAAAGTCCTCACCAGCATGACGGCGATTCGGTGACGCGAGGCGTGCACAAAGTCGGCAATTGTTTCGTTTCGGGTCGGGGTCGGTTATGGTCGAAAATTTAGTTCTGTCGTCTACTCCGGCTGCCGCGGTTGGCCCTTGGTTTCGTTCGTGTACGCAGGTGGTAGAGATTATCGAATGTCGCATTCGTCCTTAACCGGCCTCGCCAAAAGCCTCCAGAAATCTTGACGACCCGAATAATCTTTCCTTATCGGAACTGAAATGGCCCGTGCTATCTTTATCGCGGGGGCGTCACATGGCGATAACGGGGCATCCCACCAAAAAAGAGGGAGCAAGCCATCATACCTTAGTGATCGGCCAATCTGACTTTGGGCGCCGTCTTTGAATTCCAGGATCATCAAGCTTCGCGCGACTTGCACCGAGACAGCGCCACTGTGCCCTCGAACACACCTGCAAATCTGAGGCATCCTCACATAGCACGCACGACAACCAAGCCAACCTGCACATTGGTCGGTATGATGTGACCTGCCCTGTTCTCACATTACCCCGAATCTCTTCCCGCACGACCCAGAGCCGCACCCGAGACCTTGCCGAACGGGACCTTATTGCGAGACATACCGAAAATACTGTCCGGTGAGTCGCACAATCTTCGAAACTACGCTACTCCCCTCCCATACGCTCGGAGAAGGCCACTGCTGTCGGCTCAGCCAATCGAGCGACCGAAGACTTCGTTGCTGATCTTTCCAAGGGTGCTTTATCCAAGCAGAACTCTTGACAACAATCACTTCCCCCGTCGCTGCGCGATCATGGAGGGAGCCTTTACTCACCTCGGAAACCACTTGATCTCCGATTCCGCTGCTGCGATCAAGGCCGGCGCCGACGACCTCTCGACTATCGATGCGGACGAGAGCCTCCTTTATGGTGGCAAGTTTGGGGGCCGCGGCGGACGACGCCGCGCCGATGACGACGACAACCAGACTGAGCTGTATGACGAGGAGGACAATGACAGTCTGACGAGCGCACCCGTTGGCGCTTTGCAAGACCTGAAACTCGGTCACGCTCAAGAGGAGGAGAGAGAGCTGCCTGCGCATGCCTGCTCGTACGTCTTGCTACCCCACTTCTCCCGAAATGCGACTCTGGCCCTCTGCTGACTTTGACGATCCATGAAGGTACTGCGGCATCCATTCCCCGAGCTCCGTTGTCAAGTGCCTTGGCTGCAACAAATGGTTCTGCAGTGCTCGCGGCAACACGACCTCCAGCCACATTGTCAACCATCTCGTTCGCGCTCGCCACCGAGAAGTCCAGCTTCACCCTGAATCGACCCTTGGCGACACTATCCTTGAGTGCTACAACTGCGGAAGCAAAAACGTCTTCCTGCTGGGATTCATCCCTGCTAAAGCCGATACCGTCGTCGTTCTTCTCTGCCGACAGCCATGCGCCGCCAGCACTTCCTCGAAGGACATGAGCTGGGACATCTCACGATGGCAGCCCTTGATTGAGGGAGCGCGCCTTCCTCCCGTGGCTGGTCGCAACGCCCTCAGACGCCGAGCAGCTGCGCGCCCGTCACTTGACCCCGAATGTTATGGCTAAGCTCGAGGAACTGTGGAAAGAGGATATGACGGCAACGGTGGCCGATTTGGACAAGGCGACCAGTATTGATGACGATCCTCATCCTGTGCTGCTCAAGTACGAAGACCCGTTCCAGTACCAGAATGTTTTTGGCCCTCTGGTCAAGATGGAGTCCGACTACGACAAGAAGCTCAAGGAAGCGCAATCGGAGGACGGCCTTCAGATTCGCTGGGATTACGGCCTGAACGGCAAGCATCTTGCAAGCTTCGAGCTTCACAAGATAGAGTCCGGCGATGTGAAGCTGGCTGTTGGTGACGAGATGCGACTCCGCTACAAGGGAGAGCTTCGTCCAGCCTGGGAAGGCGTTGGCTACGTGATCAAGATTCCCAACAATCACTCTGACGAGGTCACTCTGGAGCTGCGTAAGGCCGGTAACGAGAAGACGGTCCCAACCGAGTGCACCCACAACTTTTCGGCCGATTATGTGTGGAAGGCGACTTCATATGACCGCATGCAGCTCGCCATGAAGACTTTCGCTGTTGATGACAACAGTGTCTCGGGTTTCATCGTTCACAAGCTGCTTGGACGTGACGTTGCGGTCGCGCCTATGAAGACGGCCATGCCTAAGAAGTTTACCGCTCCTGGACTACCCGACCTCAACCAGTCCCAGATTTCTGCCATCAAGGCGGTCCTTCAAACGCCTCTGAGTCTGTAAGTCAACACTCCACGTCATTGGACATTCTGCGCACTGCTAACGCTGCGAAGCATCCAGGGGCCCCCGGGCACTGGCAAGACCGTCACGTCGGCGACAATCATCTACCATCTCGCTAAGAGCAGCGGAGGACAGGTCCTCGTCTGTGCGCCTTCTAACGTTGCCGTCGATCAACTTTGCGAACGTATCCACCGCACAGGGCTCAAGGTCGTGCGCTTGACAGCCAAGTCCCGCGAGGATGTTGAGTCCTCTGTCAGTTTCCTCGCTCTCCACGAACAAGTCCGTATGAACGACAGCAATGGCGAGCTTGTCAAACTTGCACAGCTGAAGACCGAGCTCGGCGAACTCTCCAGCCAGGATGAGAAGAAATTCAAGCAGCTGACCAAGGCTGCCGAGCGTGATATTTTACACAACGCTGACGTCGTCTGCTGCACCTGTGTTGGAGCAGGCGATCCCCGTCTCTCTAAGATCAAGTTCCGTAATGTTTTGATCGATGAGTCGACCCAGTCTGCTGAGCCGGAATGTATGATTCCTCTTGTTCTCGGTTGCAAGCAGGTGGTTCTTGTTGGCGATCACAAGCAGCTGGGCCCAGTCATCATGAACAAGAAGGCAGCGAAGGCAGGCCTTAACCAGTCTCTATTCGAACGACTGGTGAATCTGCGCCTGCAGCCTATTCGGCTGAACACCCAGTACCGCATGCACCCCTGCCTGTCGGAATTCCCATCCAACATGTTTTACGATGGCTCCCTTCAAAACGGCGTGACGCACGCCCAGCGACTCCGCCGCGACGTCGACTTCCCATGGCCCGTTGCCGATACACCCATGATGTTCTGGTCGAACCTAGGCAACGAGGAGATCTCAGCCTCCGGCACATCTTATCTCAACCGCACCGAGGCTTCGAACGTCGAGAAGGTTGTGACTCGGTTCTTCAAGGCAGGCGTTAAGCCCCAGGACATCGGTGTTATCACCCCGTACGAAGGCCAGCGCAGCTACATCGTTAGCACGATGCAGAACACGGGCACTTTCAAGAAGGAAAGCTACAAGGAGGTCGAGGTGGCGTCGGTCGACGCTTTCCAGGGCAGAGAGAAGGACTTCATCGTGCTCTCTTGCGTGCGTTCCAGCGACAACCAAGGCATCGGTTTCCTTTCGGACCCCCGTCGCCTGAACGTTGGTCTCACGCGTGCGAAGTACGGCCTTGTCATCCTCGGTAACCCCAAGGTGCTGTCTAAGCACGAGCTTTGGCACCATCTCCTTGTCCACTTTAAGGACCGCAAGTGTCTCGTCGAGGGCCCGCTTACCAACCTGCAAAGCTCCCTCCTCCAGTTTGGCAAACCCAAGACGCCGTACCGTCAAAAGTTCAACCAGCCTAACCAATACGCTGCCGGCGGATACGGCAGCGGCAATGGGAACAGTAATGCAGCCGCTACGGTCCTCCTGGCAGTTCTGTCCGCGACTTCGATACAGGCTCGTTGTATCTACATTCCGACGACGTCTCCTCTATCCACAGCTCTAGCCTCGGCGGCGCCGGTCTCAACACGACCTATCCTCAGTTCTTCTCCGGATTCGGCCACGAAACCTGGCCCGGACTGCCAGGTGCCCCTACTGGTCGATCTGGCAATCGCAGGGCCGCTCGTGGCGCAGAGAGCATCGCTGGCGAGAGTGTGGCCAATTCTGAGTACACCGATGCAAGCGCTAGTGTCATTGGGGCCAAGGGAGTAGGACAGGGCGGTGTCAGGCCTGGGCGCGGGTCTTCAAGATGCCATTCACGGTATGCGGCCGGCATCTTACAGCCGCAGCGACCGTCTCACGCAATATGTCAACTCGACCAGCGGGAACCGAAATGGCCCTGGCAATGGCTACGGACGTCGCTTCGACAAGGATGACGATGAAAAGAGCGTCAGCACTGCCTTCCACAGTCAGATTGGCGGCGGCTTCGACTGAGTTACGAGACGGTAGACATCAAAAGTCATGTATGAGTCGTCTCGACATTGCCCCCACTGGGTTCAGCTCGCCGCAAGCTATACAGCATGGCAACCCAAGGCTCGGCGAGTGCCCGAGGACATGCCTGGTCAAATGACAACAGGCTGTCTCGAAGGAATCCGCATCACAACATCGGCCGATAGCGCGCTGGTTGACGTGTCAGGCGGTTCGCCCCAGCGATATCTACCGACGGTTACCACGCTGCCTGAGCGGACCTGATTGTGCGCATACGACAGTCAAGCAGTGTACTTGCGCTGCTGAACATCAAGGTGGTGCAAATCATGAGACAGTCGAACGAGAGATGGCGAATAGCCCTTACGGAGTTTGTGGCGGCGAGCGGTTTCCAAAAAGGCCATCGCAGGGAAGGCAATAGGAATGAGACGTCATGTCTCAAAACTCGGGTTGAAGCTCACGCTCGGTGGAGTAGGGTTTAAACGACACTGAGGTCCGGGTAGTCCGTATGCTTCGGCATGTTAGGATTGGTTGATTGTACAGTATCCCAATCAGACCGATACATCTCGAGCTTTCGGCACGCTACAGCCAGCACATCACCACGTGGTTCCTGGTCCGGAGAGCTAGTGTCGGGGTCGTTCGTTGAGTTACTTCGCGTCAACATTAAATACAGTCATTCGCTTCGCACCAATACTCCCCGATTGCTCATGATGATTGTTGCCCGTATTCTGTTGACTAGGTACAGTGGTACCAGACAGGGTACCGTATCTAACCTGTTGCCATGTGTATCGGGCTGTTCTGGCCGGACTTGGATTGTGCAATGTTCAAGAGCGGTTTTCTAGTCCTTCTCGAGCGCCAGAAAGAGTACTGCCACCAGTCGGATTCTCTTTGCTCCTCTGGGCCAAGATAGGTTTCCGCCCGGCCCTCGCTTGCACACAGCGGTCTTGGAGCCAGCTTTGTTACGTGAAGAATATCGTGAAATCGAACTCGTACGGACTGTCTTGATTATGCTTCGCATGCACTACATGTTGCTGAATACGTCCGGGAATCAAATGAATGAAGAACGAAGAATATCTGACCACCACAATGAGTAGCTAGTTCTCCCCAGAAGACGGACGCGCAAAATAGCTATATGGAGTGTACCATGAGTATAGGCCTTTAGTATGTGCATGCTAGTAAGTGGATGTATGATGCCCCGCGCACAGCATACTGCCACGTTGCTCTGCGTTCGCTGATACCGGTCATTTCTTTTTCAGAGCTCAAAATGACGACAGCGCGCAGCCTGTGTAGAGTATTCAAGCAGATATTCAGCCGTTCCAGCTGTGGTAAGG